ATGGAGGGATGGACACTGGGAAGAGGTAACTATGGGGAGGAAGTGGGAGGGGAGCTGTTGCATTGTAAATTTTGGTCAATGACATGAGACAAAGTATATTATGTGAACTGCTGTATGAAAAGTGAATTTACGCTGTAAATCTTCACCCAAATCAAAATAAAATTAAAAAAAAAAATGTAGTAGAGACAGCGTCCATTCCTTAAGTGTGTCCCTGTCTCAGAATGGGAATTCCAGAACACTTAACTGTGCTCATAAGGAACCTGTACATAGATCAGGAAGCTGTCATTCAAACAGAACAAAAGAACACTGCGTGGTTTAAAATCAGGAAGCGTGTGCATCAGGGCCGTATCCTTCCACCATACTTACTCAATCTGTATGCTGAGCAAATGATCCAAGAAGCTGGACTATATGAAGAAGAATGTGGCGTCAGGATTGGAGGAAGACTCATTATCAACCTGCAATATCCAGACAACACAACCTTGCTTGCTGGAAGTGAAGATGACTTGAAGCACTTACTGATGAAGATTAAAGAGTACGGTCTGCAGTAGGGGTTACACCTCAACATAAAGAAAAATAAAATTCCCACAAGTGGACCAATAAGCAGCATCAAGATAAAGGGAGAAAAGCTTGAAGTTGTCAAAGATTGGAAGCAGCAGTCATCAGACATCATATTACACTGCCTAAGGCAGCTACTAAGCTGCTCACAATATATTCCTTCATGGAGTTGATTACCAGTCTCATCATGGGGAATACTACATCCAGCTGCCTAGCCACTCAACCAGGCCCAGCCAAGTTGACACACAAACTGAACTACCACAATTCTACCCCTTGTCAACTTGGCATCTGTACAGATCTTCATTGGGTGTCATCTGTACAGATTTCTCACTGGGTGCTCCAGTGCCCTAGTTCCCCTAAATGGTGACCTCACCCCCTTGGCCTGGAGGCCCCGTTCCTCTCCCTCTTGGGCATGGCAGCCCCACTCCCTCTCTCTTGGGCAGTGGCTATGGCTCCATCCCACTGGCTCACATGAAGGAGCAGCCCCACACTCCAGAACCAAGTTGGTGAAGGTCTGGCTCTTTGAAACCTAAGGGGCTGTAGTCGTTCCACCCCCAAAGG